AGACATATTTAGAAAAAATTTTTTTTAGATCAACAAATGTACGCATCCAAATTTGTATAGATTGTTACACGACGAAAATTTAACAGCATGTTATTAATTAATCCTGTCAAAGAAAAACTTAAATAAACTTGATTGTCAAAAAAAGCCATTATAACAAAAGTTTAGAATGTTAATTATGAGGAAATTGTTTGTTACACGTCGTTCTCCGCAAAATTATTCTCTAAAAGTCAAATTTTTTTATAATGTCACATATTAAACTATTATCATCGTTATCACAAGAAAGAAAGGAATTTGTATATAAAATTTATAACGAAATGCGTAATAATCCAGTGGTTAGTTCTAATAAAGAAAGTAGAAAAGATTATTTTTTTTCATTGGTCCAAAAAAACAAGGAGCTTTCTGAAAATGAAAAAGAATTTTGTAAGGAAAAGTTTATTTATAATTTTGAATTAAATAATGCAACATATAAAAAAGGCAAACCAAAAGAATGCAACAGCTGTAAATTAATAAGATATTCTGATAGGTTCTGTGAATGTTGTATTAGTTTACAATTACAGAGTCTTTTCACTACTTGGACTTCTGGAAATAACATAATTGATGATTTTATTCAACAATGTCAAATGAAATCATCTCTGCCAAATTATATTTTAGAATGGATACCTTTTGAGCAATTTTATGATGTAACAAAGTTGACAGAAGGTGGATTTAGTTCAATTTATACTGCTACATGGACAAGAGGAAGAATAGTTGATTATGATGAAAATAAAAAAGAATTTAGTTATTTAGAAGAGCAACCAGTAGTATTAAAAAGTTTAAATGATTCAAGTAATCCAGGAAAAAGCTTTTTTGATGAGGTTGGTAGTTTTTATTTAAAACAAAATAATAATACTGTATTGTATAATACTAATTGATTTATATTTACTTTCAGGCAGTGAATTATTGTAAAATTAAAGCACCACTGATTGTTGAATGCTATGGTATAACTAAATTCCCAGATAATGGAAATTATGCAATAGTTTTAAATTATTTATCAGATGGAAATTTAAGAGATTATCTGCAAAAAAATCTTTTGAATTTAACATTAAAAGACAGGATTACAATCTTTTATTATTTATGTGATGCATTATATGATATACATAAAAAAGATTTAATCCATTGTGATTTACATAGTGGTAATATATTATTGGAAGGAGGTAACTGTTATATTACAGATTTAGGATTATGTGGACCAGTTGATGAAAAGTCATCAAATAAAGTTTATGGAATTGTGTCATATATTGCACCTGAGTTACTTAGAGGCAAAAAGAACACAAAAAATACCAAAGAATCTGATATCTATAGTGTTGGGATGTTAATGTGGGAAATATTTGCGGGTCATCCATCATTTGACAATAGAGCTCATAATCATCATTTAATTTTTGATATATGTGAAGAAGGTTTACGACCACCAATATTACCTGAAATTCCTGATGATTATGTACAAATGATGCAGAGGTGTTGGGATGTGGATCCATCAAAAAGACCAACTAGTAGAGAGCTTTTTGACTTTTCTAATAATAAATATGATGAAATTATTAAAAATAATAATGATAATGACACTATTAGTAGTGGTAGTAGTGATTTGCAACAAGCACACAAACCACATCCAGATGCATATCATAAAAGTAGAATATTAGATGAAGAGATTGCTAAATCTAAAAGCTTAAAACTTTATACAAGTAATGATAGTTCGTTAAATAGTCTTGATTTTAACTCTTTTCTCTAAAACGATGATTTTAACAAAGGTGAATAAAAATTCGTTATTAATTAATTGGAAATTACTATCCATTAATTATTATTACTAACAATATTTTTTAATTAATTAAATTCTTGTAATAATAGTAAGAGAAAGAATCGACGAGTGACTTAATTTAATCCCCACTATAAACTTTATCCATTCTAATTATTTATTTTTTTATTTTATCTTTATTTTTATTTCTTAAAACTAAATAAAATTTTTACAGTTTTTTTGATTCTTATTAAATGGTGATATTGCGAAGTATTGTTTTGGTTAACACCGATTATTTAACAAGTATAATTGATTATGGCTTACTTTTGGGTACTCTTGTCAGTTAATCGCAAATAATTCAGTGCTTATCAATTAATTAGTTTACTTTGATTCTTGTTTTTATATTTATTGGCCAATTTCAAACTCACTTTAGTATCTTGTTTAACAGCCTTATGTTCACCAGTATTTCCAATTAACCTTTGGGCGATACTTCATTAACGCTCGCTAGTTAACCAACGTTAGTCCTAACCTTTCTTGCAAAATAAAACGTGGCTTTTTACCAAGGCATTGCACTCGTTGCTTTTATCAATGTGCTTTAAACAAACAAAATAAAGACGACGTTTTTATTTTTCTTTGCTTGGACCCAAAGTCATTCCCTATTCAAGTTAACAATAAAGGTTTATTATTGCAAAGTAACTTAATTAATCAATAAAGCTACGTAAAATCTTCATTTGGTAATGATTATGTTGTATATAGGTCTACATTAAAATTAGTTGACCCTGGAACATAAAGTATTCGATGATTTCTACTCTGGTCATGTATCACGTTATTAATAAATAAGCGGAGTGGGAAAAATTTAGCTCCTCGGGAACAATTGATGAAACAAAGAAGAGATTGGGATGCACAAGAAAATATAAAATATAAAAATATAAAATTGAAAAAGACCTTTGAATATATATTTATATGTTTTTTTTTATGAGCTTTTATACATTTTATTATTAACCTTTGGAACAATTTTACTTATGTCAAATGTTTTTACTTGCGTCATTTTTGACTTATGGCAGCGAATTTGACCGTAATAGTTTTACAACTTTCGTCGAACAACGTTAGTTATTAGTGAAAGGAATAGCTTCTTCTGTCACTAAAGATGAAGATGGAGAATTGATATTATTTATTGTTTCATTTTCTTCCACTATTACAAAATTCAAGGTCAAGTTTAATTTTAACGATGCAGAGATATTAAAGACTCTGGTCAAGAATAAAAGTGACTGACTATTCATTCCTCAAAAGTAATAATAAATTAAGCGAGGAAATATCCGAATTAAAATATGACTAGACCATTTGAAATAAGGTTTATAACCAAAGGTCTTAAATTTTTGATAATAAATCATTCTCTTAATGACCACCAAAGCGTTGAGGTTGTAAGAAGGGGAAAACAGGGCATAATTAAATTATATCACTTATGATAGTATCCAAAATGAAAAGAATTCTATTAATAGTAAATCAATAATAACAAGCGTAAACTTCGTTGATACATACTCCGGATCCCACAAGAAATCTTGTGCGAAAACCATCATGTAATTTTGTCCTCCGAGTTTAAAGCACAAGACATGGTCAAAAGTGATGGTGGTTTAGAAATATCCAATCTGGAACAGTAATGCAGATGTTGTTAACCTGGTCACATTTCAATATTTGCACCATAAATCCCCACGAGTATCCTTGTTGTTGTGGTTGTGGTTGTGGACGCGTCAAACAAAAATTCCGTCATTGATAAATATGTAATACATTTTTAAAGAAACAACAAACCTACACTTTATCGTAGGTTGACTTGTATTTAGTTACAAGTTCAAAAAATTTACAACGGCCTTTTGTGCAACTAGAAGTTTTTTTTTTTTAGATGTGGAAAATTTTGAAAATGAAGAATAATAGCTTACCAAGGAATATTTATAAATTTTATAATATCAATTTTTTGAAAAACCATCATTACTCAACAACTTCAACAAAAAAAGAAAATGTTACGTCTTTAGGCAAATATTTAAAAGATTCAATAAAAGTAATCATTTAATAAAATCAAAATTCAGAGATATTTTTCAAATACAGTTGTACCTCTATATATCCATATAAGAACCCTCCCTAGTAATTTTTCTTTTTTTAAAAATGTTCTTATAGAGAGCCTGTTCTTTAGATGGAGATGTTTTCTATAAGCTTAATAGTAATTGGTTCCCAACATACGTGTTCTTATAGAGGTTTTCATATGATGTTCTTATATGGATGGTTTTTATATGGAGGTATGACTGTACCATTTACCACACACACAATTTAATTTGATATTTAAATGTTACCTAGAGATCAGGACCGATTACAATTTCTAAATATATGAAAGAGGCTTTGACCAATCCGTTAGAAGGATATTATACGAAAAAAGGTGATGTTTTTGGTGTAAAGGGAGATTTCACAACATCACCTGAAATAAGTCAAATGTTTGGAGAGGTAAAAAAAAAATATTATCAATTGATTAATATATAAATATATATCTCTGCGTGTGCATATATACGAGTAATAAATAGACTTTACTATTATTGGTGATAGCTGATAGGTATTTGGTTCCTAACTCAATGGAAAAGTCAAGGACAGCCTAAAAACATACAAATAGTTGAATTAGGTCCGGGAAGAGGGACTTTGTTAGATGATATACTTCGTGTATGAATAATTATATAATGTATTTACATCTATGATTTGGCTAGCTTCTAATTCATTCATTTGCTCATTTTTTAGGCTTTATCAAAATTTAAAGAATGTTACAATTCGATAACTAGAGTTAATCTAGTTGAAGTAAGTCAAGAAATGCGTAAAATTCAATATTCTAAACTTTGTGAGAAGGGAAACAAACAAGATGATAGAATTGAATTTAATTGGTACAACTCATTTGAAGAAATTCCTGGTAATATATTTTTTTGTATACATCTTTATATAATAATGTTATATAAATATTTATATATAAATGTAAATTTAGATTTATGGTCTATGGTGATAGCACATGAATTTTTTGATGCATTACCAATTCATAGGTTTGAAGTAAGTTTATTACAATTATCAAGTAGTAGTAATAATAATAATAATAATTGATTTATGGATTATTAGAAAACTGATAATTGTTGGAGAGAATATTTAGTAGATGTTGATGAAACTGATTTCAGGTACACATAATATTTTACACATTATATAAATAATACTTTATTTAGAAATGGATTAGTAGACAAATTAATAAATTAATAAAAATTGTTTGCTTACCACACAATTTTATTCTTGTCCATTAATTAACAAGCAAAAATATATATGCGTGTATATATTTTATATCAAAGTGAATACCACTTCAAATTAATATTATCTTCAGAGCCAACAGATGCTTCCAAACAATTAAAAACAAATTTTTCGCTTTCCAATTCTTCCTTCTGTCCTCGACCATCTTCATCTACAACAAAATCAGCATTGAATTTTGATAAATTCAAAATTGGCGATAAAATTGAAATTTCACCTGAATCGTTCAAAACCGCAAAGCAAATATCGAAATACATTGGTCATAATAAAGGCGGAGCTGCATTGCTTATCGATTATGGGCAGGATTTTATTCAAGGAGATACTTTGAGAGTAAGAATTTAAAATAATCAACAAAAGTCGTTTTATCCCGAATTTTTTATTTAATATACATACATACACACACACACACATACATACATACATACATTTATTTTTCTAAAAAAATTTAAGGCAATTAGAAATCATAAATTTATAAATCCAATGAGTTCACCAGGTGAAGTCGATCTAAGCGTAGATGTAAATTTTCAATATTTAAAAGAAGCAATTGCTATCGATAACTTGGGTGAATATATTATATATATATATATATATATATATATATATTGATAATAAATATTTATATTATTATTTATTATTAACAAATACCATTCATAAATAATATATATATATCTTAGTTAATTGTTATGGACCAATTCCTCAATCAAAATTTTTATTATCACTTGGAATAAGCTTAAGATTAATGGTATTGCTAAGAAATCCTAATGTTTCCAAAGATCCAATTTTGAAAAATGAATTATTACAATCATACAAAAGGCTTGTTGATCCTTTATCAATGGGTAACATTTATAAGGCATTGGCAATCACACCTAAAAGTTTATCAGAAAAACCTTTTGGTTTTTAAGTTACATATATTTTACTGATATATCTATAGATGATTATTATTTATTCATAATAATCATAATAGTATATTATTTTACAAATAGTAAATACACTTTTAAATATAAAGAAGAAATAAAATTGGTTTTGTTAAAAGATCTCTTTCTTAAACGTTGGTGAATAGTTGAATTTTGAATGTGGAAATTGTTGATAATTATTTTTAAAGATTACACACATGTTATCCCATCACTATTATCACTGCAACCGCCCACAATTGTTATTGATTAATCATTGATTGATTGTATGTAATCAATTAATTTCATTTCCTTTAAAATTGACGAAACAATCTTCAATTTGACTTTGTGTTATGCTTTTCTTGGCAAAGAGAAAATTACTATTAATGTCATCATTTGGTGATTGTGCTGGTGAAGGTGGTAATGGCAAATCAACTTTGATTTTGTTAATTATATTTGCAACCTTTACATCTTCTTTAATTAATAAATCTGAATCACCCCACAAGCACAATTTAAAACATAATTTATGTGATATTGTTATAAATTTACCAAAATATGTTGGTAAAATATTATTTGGGATGAAAAATTCAATTTCATGAAAACATCCTGCTTCATATTCATCTGCCGTAAATGAAGAAGATATCGACGACGACGACGACGATGAAGCTGTTGTTGATGATGGCGATGATAACCTCTTCATTCTTTGTCTTGGTATGCCTACAACATTTGATATATGTTTAATAAAACGTTTGTCAGTTGTTTGTTTATTGCGAAATTCCATATTTGTCTCCAAAAATATCTCTACTCGATCTAAGCTTACTCCACCACTATTACTACTACCAATACTACCCCGATTATCATTTTTGCTATAAGTACTATTACTATTATTAGAAGAAGAGTAAGTGTACAAAGAGAATCCGATTTTCATAGGAATTATTATCGAGACACCGATATTTAAAATTTTATTCGGTGGTAGCATAAAATCATATTCAATATCTCCATTTTTGGTTTTTCCTTTCAGATTATAATGAATAATGTTATTTTTATCTTCATTATCAAGAATTAAAGTTCTTTTCAACGGGCACAAAATCTCAACTGCCTGATTAATATTTATCGACAATGACGACGATGACAATGGTGATGATGGAGATTTCAAGAATGGAAATACTTTTTTACTAACAGTGGCTCTAAGAATATAATTCACAGATCCCAATTCTGTAGAAAAACTTTGAGGCAAATCATTATCATTGTTGTTGTTGTTGTTGTTGTTGTTGTTGTTGTTGTTGTTGTTGTTGTTGTTTGATAATTTGATTTTAAAAGGTATTAAGAGTTCCAAAATCTCCTTTGAATCTTCATCAGTTTCCCAGATTTTAAATGACTGATTTTCCAAAACTTCTTCACCATTATAAACAGTTTTCGATCTACCGTGAACATTGGACCAACAAGTTTTCTCAATACCAATCAAATCCAAATGAACGCTTTTGATCGGTGTCAACCTTTCATAATTTAGATAAACCGCTCCAATCAAATAACAAGTGTGATTTGGTCCAAGTGTACCCTTCTGAAACGAATTATGATAAGGCGCATAATAAAATGTTATATTTTTGTTATATTTAATATATGAAGATTCAGGTGGCAAATTTTTGTTAATATCATCATCATCATTATCATCATCATCATCATAATTTAAATTGTATAATGATGTTGATAATGAGTTTTGTTGATGCGAAGGATAAAAATAACTCTTTATATATGCTGTTGGAGGTGGTCGAATATCATCATTTATTTTATTATGAGTTTGAAAAGTTATTGTAGTTGTCATATTTATTTAAAAAATTGTTTTTTTTTAAAAAAATAAAAATAATTGAAAAAATTCCTCTCTAATGAAAAAAATAATTTTATAATGTGGCTTATATATCTGCAAACATGGCTTTGACTTTTTGATTTTGATCAGCAAAAAATATACGAAAATCTTTACCAAAAAAAATTGATATTATCAATTATAATGACCATAGAATTTTTCATTGTGAACCAGACGGTTTCTTCATCGTTGCAGCTCTAAACTAGATGCAGTTTTATGAGTTGCCACCTTTTAATTGGGTTGAGACAGATTCCTACAAGTCTATTCCATTTAGTAATCCGCTGTTGATTTATTTAAAGAAGTTATAGGTTTGGCAGAAATTTGGGCTGCTGAAGAAGCTAATGTTGCTGTTATTATTAATAAATTGTTATCAATAAATGATGCCAGATTTTTGAGAACCATTCTTGTCCTGTACCACACAAACAACTTTTTGCAAGACGTTGAACTACAAAGATCATCAGCTAGATTTTTTTTTGGTCTAATAATTCTGTGAATTCCATTCTTGAGAAGTCGTTCTTACAAGCATTATTGAATGTTTGGATGGCTTTTTTCGTAACGACTCAAAATAATTGGGATTGTAGTTTTACAATTAATTTTGTTGGAGTCTCTTTCAGTAATAATACCTTTTTCTAATGCTTGAATGGTGTTTTTTTCATAATTAAATGTTTTACTTGATCCAAAAGATATTGGCTGCCGATCACAAAAAAAAAAATATAATATACGAATAATAATAAAAATAATTTGAAAAATTAAAAAGTCCAATAATTACTATTTGGCCACTAAGCAATAAATATTCAATACAACTTTGTCTTTCCCTCCACTCATAATAAAAACAGACTATCATCAATGAAAACATTTTCCTGCTCTTTAAGATGTAGTCATGTGAATTATATAATAACATTTTAATTACTTATCATGGTCGGAGTTGTGATAATATTGAGATCATGGAATAACTCTAATTAACGCTATAAAATTTGACACTTCAAAATCATTATTATATTAAAAGAGAAAAAAAATTGTTAGTTATTTTTTATTTCAAATCTCTATGGAGAAAATTATCGGAAATTTTTTAAAGATTCCATTAACACTAAAGAGAATTGATTGTTCAAAAAACAACAATAAAATGAAGGAGAAAAATGGACAATTGTTTAATAATGTGATTACTTGATTTATTTAGTTAACTTGAATATTTAATTTAATCATTTTATTTTAAGTTTCTCAACCAGATTTCTCAAGTTTTCTCTCATTATTTTAGCAGGCAAAACATCATCACGACTGATTTCAAGTAATTTCTCAACATCTAATTTGTCTAATGATGAATAATCCAAGAATCTTTTATAAAGTACATCCATAAAAGATAAAACATATATTCCACATTCTATAATATAATGATAAATAATAGAAGAATATTAGTAATTAGTATTAATAGAAAATGTATTATTTATTTTTATTTACCTGTGCCTAATTATAATGTGATAAGTAATAGATGATTAGTGAGTGTGTGATTATTGAATATGCAATAAAAAATATATTAAAATAATATACCATTCTCTTGTGTCAAAGTTTTCATATATTTGAATTTATAATCTAAATAAAATATTATGAATTAATTGATTGACTGATTGATTAATCATTAATAGTTATTTTTATTCAGTACCTTGAATTTTAATAATTTCTGAAAATTTAAGTGCATTAAATTTAGCAATCTTTTCATTCATATTATGACAACTATCAAAATGAAAAAATGTATTAAGCCCTTTAACATAGATTAATAATGACCAATGAGTTCCACCTCTTGGTTGATTTACATTTAAATTGTTATTTATTATCATAAAAAATATTTCTGATGAAAATACTTGATTTGGGATAACATTTTTAAAATATTTTGTATCTTTAAAATATAATTAATAAATAGGTTGGTTAATAAATATTAATAATAATTTAATTAGAATTAATTAATTAATATCCACAAAATTGTTTCCTAATTTACCAGCAGCATTGGATATAAGGTAAATTAATGCTGGTCTAAGAAAAAATATCTGGAAATCAGAGTTTGCTTTTTGTTTAAAATTATTCTCAATATATCTTAAATAAATAAATAAATATATATATATATATAAAAAGATTTATTAATTATACACACTCCAACAATCAAAAAATTATCAATCACTTACTCTATATAAAAATCAATACATTGATCATTGATCCAGTTATAATCATCAAATAATTTTACATCCTAAAATAACAAGACTATTTGTTTATTTATTTATTTAATAATTGTTATATTCATATGAAAAGTTTGATAATAGATCACCTCTTCATAAAGTATAACATCATAATATGACAAAACTTTTTTTGCCATTTTTTTAAAAAATTTGCCCCAAATTTATAATTTAATCGTGACACAAATTAATTTAGTAAGAAAATCCCCAGTCTATTATTATAAGATGTTGATAATTTACAAATTTAAATTTGTTCTTAAGGATACGGTCTCTCGCGTGATCATTCAAAAATGTCGATCAATTTTGTTTAAATGTACAGTATAACTTTTCTCAAAACGTGTCTACTAATTAATAAATTAAAACCTCATACCCATTCTAGCAATGTTTTCAAGTTGTATTATTATACCAGGTTTATAGTCAAAGTTTCTCATCCCATAGAAAAAATAATTGGGCGCATCTTTTTTTTAAAAAACTTTTAAATATACAGTATTGTCTTTTTAAAGGTGTTTAGACACAATAAACATTTTTTTTAAAGAAATAATGTTTGCTCGAGTAAATTCACTCATAGTAAGATTAATTGTTCACTTAGGGAAAAGCGATAAAAGCTATTTATTAATTATCTATTTGTTTATTTGTTGTTTTTTTAATATTTTTTACTTTCAAATAAACGATAATAACGATAATATCAAATGATCATATACAAAGAAAGGATTTAATAATGACGATGATGATGATAATAATAATAATAATAATGGTCGCGTAACAATTCTTTCTGTACACCACATATCGTTTACCATAGGTTTAATTAATGCAATGTTGTATATACACACCCCTACAAAAAGTATCGACTCACTTGATGATCCGCCAAAATAATCGAATAAACAGGTAATACAAATACTCGTTTTTTACTAAGCAAATCGACGCTGTATATTAGTAAGAAAATGTTTGTTGAAATGATTACCATAATAGTCTAAAATATCACATTGGGCCAATTGTTATTGATAATTATATGATGTTTAAAAGTCAAATTAAAATTTTTCGAAAATTTTTTGAAAAAGTAGCACTTAGAGCTATTTTAAGATACGATGTTTTAACACATCTTGAGAACTTAGAAAATATTGCTCCATTTGTTCTCAAATGTATATATATACACGTTCATAATTATTGATCAAATATTCATGGAGCATTGATACAAAACGTAAAAAAAATCGTAATGAATTTTTTATGCAAGACGATTATCATTATGCGTGAACAAACTTTAAAGGGCAATGCGGCTGAAATATTTAACCAAAACTAAATTTTTTTTTAAAAAAAAAAAAGATTGAACTTTCAATTTGTTATTTCAATTAAAAAATTAACAGACTTTGAATAATCGGACGTTGGGAAGCAGATGAAAGCGTTTATGACATTGCTGGTGCAATCAATCATTCTCAGTCACAAGTAACTCATGCAATAAAAGCATTTAAGATCAAACTACTATTGCTCCCCAAAAAATAGAAATGAATTAATTTCTTATTTAATGGATGAATGGGTAAATCTTGATCATGATTATTTGCAAAAATTAGTAGACAGCATTCCTTGAAGGGTCCAAGCTGTAATTGAATCAAAAGGAAACCCAACAAAATATTGAATAAATGAATGAAATATTTATACTTTTTTGATACTTTTGATATAA